GTATTATAATTCCTACCCTGTACACGCATTTTATAAGCTTCATAACGTGCATTCTCTATAGGTTTTACCGTTTGTCCAAGGGGCTGTAAAATATATTTTAAAAATATATTTTAAAAATTATATGTCACACTTTACTCACAGAATTACAAATGTTTATTAAATCTTTTCTTAACAACATTCGGTGAGCTATTAATTTTCAAAACTTTCTTTAGAAACATTTCAATTAAATCAATTTCAATAAAATTAATATAATTATAGTTTTTTGTAAATATAGAATGCGTAATAAAATGAAAATCTTACAGTGGGTGCAAATTGGCCTGCAGGAATCCACGTTGGTTTAAAACTACTAATGATCTCGTTTCTCTTCTTTTTGTCTTTTTCACGCTGTTTAAAAGCCAATTCATTTTGTTGTCTCTTCTTAAAAATTTCATCTTCTGCGTCTCCAAGCTCTGACATTATCAATTGTACACGATCTAAATTAACGTCACCGCTATCTGTCAAAAAACCCTAAAAATAATTTTAAAAATTACTTTCTATAAACAAATATTTGCTTTGGCAATATTAATATTCAATAGACATTTTCATAAATTTATATAATTTAAAAATACATAATTTAAAATCAAATTGATAATTATAAATGTATATACATAAATATATATACACCAATAGAGAGAGATACAAGATATCTAAATCTTTTTTAATAAGTCAGAAATAATTAACAAAGAAATTTAGTATAAATAATTAATATGTATACAATATAAAAATGAAATATGTACAAAATATACCTCAATTCTTTAAACAATATTTAATAATTATACTATTTGTATAATTATATTGTAATATAAAATGTATTACAAAAAGATATATTTTTTAAATTAGAATTAATAAGAGTATAATTTTCTAATTATTAATTTTTTATCATCTTGCTTTGTAAAAAATATTACATACTCCGGTTTTGTATACTGCTCTTTTATATAAAGCAACAAGTCTGTCAATTGCGCCTTCTCTAATTTCCAGAGAAGGAAGATGAGGCAAAAAATCGTTTCCTACGAAGAAACACATAAACACCCAATCATCAACAGCTCGTTCAAAATCATATTTGAATGGTAGATTTGGCATATGCAATTCTCTTTCTAAATATTCTCTGAGGACATTCAATCGCACAAATATGAACTGGCATTCAGATCCATATGTGTTCTCCTCTGGCTTTTGGTTTGGTTCCGCGCCTGTACACTCACGCATATCATGCCCTAACTGACCACATATATCGCACGGTTTTGGCTTATTCGGTTTAAATTCTTCACGAATAATAGTAAAATTGGGTTCGTGTGTAGCAAGACCTAACATAATTAAATCGGCATCGGCTCCGCATAAAACATGTTGCGTATTAGGATCGTGATCGGGTTGCGCTATAACATATTAAAAACAACAAAAATTTGTTATTTCTAGTAAAACTCTATAACCTATACATATAAAATAATACTGTACACAAACATTTACCTCTTTGTCGCCGAATAAAATCCATTATTTTATGTTCTCCTTCGCCGGGGACATTAGCATCGCTTAATATTACTTTAATATTTCTCCAGCCTGGATCATTATTCAAGCGATCATGAATGTAGTAATGTAAACATGATGATAATCTTGCCATAAATGGTGTGCCCTGAAATACGAAGCTTCCGATTTATACAGCACATAACTTTATGGTGACTGATATATTTTTTAAATTAATAACAATTAATTGCAAACAATTCCATTTTATTTGTCAAAAAATATAAATATATTTCAGATCTAAATATATTGTATTTTGTTAAATGAATATTAATTATAACAACAATATAAACAAAATTAATAATTTTGTTATAAAACTGATAAGTATTTTTATACATATTTTATATTCTTTTTGTTATTATAAATTCTATTACAATGTTGTGATTACAAACCGGAGTAATACAATTACTATCGAAATGCTCTTCCTTCGGTTTTTCGGGAGGCAAGGATGCTCCTTTGAGGGTTAATTCAGAGCGTATCCTCTCTATTTCATTAATCTTTTCAGTTGATTCTTTTGCTGCACGAAATCGTCGAGATCTTTGTTGATTCATTTTTGCTCTAGGTGCCTGCATAATACACACACACACACACACACACAACAGTACATTAGACATTATAATCTCATTAGTTTTCCTTTCTTTATATTTTATGTGCAAAAATACTTACAACTCCATCAATTGCCATGTAAAGTAATTTCCTTGGTCTAACAATGCGAAACAATCTGTCAATACACTCGAAAATAGCCTCCATCATCTCATCTTCATCCTTGGGAGCTGGCCTTATATTTACACAAGTACAAGATCACATAAACAATTCATCATAGACAATAAACCATTTATGACATCTTGTTTATACTTACTTATCTTCAGGATGTGTACAAGGATGTATTATACCATTCATATCAAGATACAAATTATCAAATTCTACCCCATTTGGATTTGGCTCTGCTGAATTTACAGGAATGCATACCCCGTCTGCAGATACTGACTATAAATATAAAGTATTAAAATTTTACTCTCTTATATATCATTGACTTTAGAATATTATTGAAATAATTTATCAAATTTTGGTAATAAAGTTCTTAAACATGAAATCATCTTAAACATGAAATATTTATACATTTATTAATTAAAAAAATGTTTTACTTAAGATGATATTATCATCTTATATGTATGTATTTTGTGTTGAGTAAAACATTTGCGAGAACATGTAGTATTTTAACTAAACACTATATTTTAATTACACTTAAATATTGTGGCCCATATTCAGAATGCGCTTTTATCTCTGAAATTCTATAATTTGCTTAATAGTATGTTAGCGCATTAACATTGTTGTAAGAGCGTTCTGAATATAGACTTGTATATTGACCACATTGAAAACATTTGAATATGGATCAAAGAATCTATTGAGCTTTTATTTATTTTAAATTGTTAGAAGTGACAAAAAATTAAATAATGTAATTCTAAAAACAAAGTACAAATTATCTTTTAATTTTTAAAAATCTTTTTTAACAAAACAGTTCAAAATCTTTATAACTATGAAAATTGTTGTTAACACAATCTTCAGCAACAAGGAAATCTTCAACAAGAGAAAATCTATGAATGAATTCCGTTTCGCACATGACATAATGCATTATTTATCCTTATTGTTCACAAAGGAATGTTAAACAAGGATAAATGATGCATTGTCCACATCATGCATGAAACAGAATACACTCTAATATTACATCAATTTGAGATTTTTAATATTTAAAATGCGAAAATAAATTTAAATATACACAAAATTACTAAATATTAACTTTAATTTCCTAAATAATTAAATTTGACAAATAGAAGCAAATAAAATATTATAATAACTATTCTAGAAAGCTTCAGAAATTTATTGTAAGCTTAACTAAAATATAATGCGCATAATTAAAAAATTTGCGCAATCCATAAGTGCAGCGATTCGTCGTCAAGGATTATATCTCAAGAAGCGAGATGTAAACGTGGATAAAATATAAATACAAATGATAAACATGTAAAACGGAGAAAAACTTATCAGCAATCTAACCTACCTTCTGTTCGATGCACTCCACAATTACGGAGGGATATTTGCGGCTTAGCCAACGAAAAAATGCTGGGACACCCATTGCTCGTTCGTAATTTGTTTGACAGTATTATGAAAACTTATAATTACTGTTACAGCACTATTGTGTCATATTAAATGAACTACATCAACCAGCATCAACGCGTTTAACTTTAATATAGAATAGGTTAGAGTTGTTTCGCTTGGTTAATCATGAATTAATATTATACATGATACGAAACACGAGATATGATTTGATGCTACTCAGCTTTTGGTGTCACTCGTAGAAATTTAGTGCAACACTAGTGCACTCTGAATGCACTTAAAGTACAATTAAACACAAATCAATTCACATATTTTTAGTATTGATAAATAATTTAATTACTTTTAATTACATATCTTTGTTGTCACAATAACTTCATAATCTCAAAAAAATTAATTAATTTATTAATATTAAAAATATATAAATTGATAATTGCACTCAATTGCATCAGTTTTTCTTAGTAAAGAAAGCTATGACACATTTTCAAAGTTTTCATAATTTCATTGATGCATTTAGCAAAGAAAACTGGTAAAAACTGATGTGGACGAAATTTATAGATATTTCGAGATATGAGTTTAAAATGTAGAGTATAATCGTACTTTTTTATTCATTTCTCGTTGATAGTTTTAAAATCATAATTTGAAGGTCTCATTATATTCTTATACATTATTCAAATGTGAGAAAGTACTTTTTGTTTGGATATATATTTGAATTCATTATATATGTAATATGTATATGGGTGAAAAAATAATAACCTACGTGGTAACAGAAACTGTAATTTACAATTTTTTTTATTTTTTATTCAGATTTGTAGTTTCCTATAATTATTTTTATTTATTCTTTTATTTTAGAGCAGGACATTTTATTCAATAAGAAAAACGAAATGAATGAAAAAATGTGAAATACATGTTCCGTCGATAATTCCAGCATTTAAGATATTATAAACCAATCAGAGATCAATATTCATAGTTTGTTCTATTTCAAGAACGGATTTTGTCTTAAATAATAGGTCTGTTCGCGTTGCTTGAAATTCGCAATTTATTTAAAAATTGAAAAAAAAAGAAAGCAAAGATGTTGAGTGCAAAAGTCCAAGCAACGCGAAAGTATTTAATAATAATAAAGTATAAATAAATAATAATAAAATATATGTAAATAATAATAAAATTTTTTTATACTTAATTTAAAATATAAAACGAATTAATAAAAAAATGTTCAATAAACTCTTCAGAAACTTTAAAGTCGATGCGCTTTCATCATTCGCAAAAGTTGCAATAAATCGTATCTAAATATTTGTATACCATGGTTCAACTATATGTGCGTTCTAAAATATATCAAAATACATGTCGTCCCATCTTCGAGTGCAACAGGTATGTTGTGTGATTAAATATTAAATTAATAGATAACTCGAATACTAATATGTAAATAATTAATAAAAATAGATTAAAATTATTTTTCCTCGCTAATTTATGAATTTTGCTATTATTTACGATATTATTGAGCAAGTTCTTTCAAAAACAATATTTTTGAAGGTTAGGAAATCTATTGTACCGACTGAATAAACGCGCGAATGTAATTGTAATGTTGATTGAAAACATGATTTTTATATTATGTGTGTTAATAATATATTAAAATTTTTCACGTAATAGTATCAAAATTTTTCAAGAGAATTCTTCTGTTTTACTAACAAATAAATTTATGATCTATTAAAACAAATCAATTTTGCATGAGTTGATCCATTTTTTGCATTAAGGCAATTATACAATATTATACGGATACAAAATTACTCCTTTGCTGATTTTATCTCACAATTTTACTTTCATTAGATTTCTTACTGCTTTAATTAAATAAAAATCTTTTATTAAAATTTATAATATTGTTATAAAAATTTTACTATTACAAAAATCTTTATATTTGCATTTATCAATAAACATTTTATTTTTATTTATTTATTTTAAGTAGCTCAATTATATAAATTAAATTACTAGAGAATAATAGAATTTCTTTCACAATTAGTTATATCAAACAAGATTTATCACAATTTTATATATAAAGACTTTTTCTTAAAACTTTAAGATTAGTTGATACCACTTTTATTTTTTTTAGATTGTTTAACTTTTGTTGTTTACCTACTTATTTTTATTTTAATTAGAATGCCAGTAGACCAGATTCAGTATTCTGAAAAGTACAATGATGATAGATATGAATACAGGTAAGGATTTGGACTACGAATCATATCTTTAAAAATACTCAAACAACAAAAAATTCAAAATTGAAACATAAGACGTCTTAAAAATATCTTTTATGTACATTTAAGACGTCTTATGTTTCGTTTTTAAACATGCATGTTGTCTGAGTAATGTGAATTGTAAAAATTAATTTTACTATTATTTAAATATTGTCAACTTTTATTACAGTTATGTTTTTCTTTTTATAATTTAAGTTATATTATATTATTTGTGTAAAAAATGTATCTTATGATAATCATTTTTGATCTAACTTTGAAATTATACCGATTTTTTATAAAATTGAATATGAATACAGAAATTTAAATAGAAGAGATTCTCTTTTCAGAGATTTTCAATTAAAAAGAAGATTTTCTTATAGGCATGTAATACTGCCAGTTGATATAGCCAGGCATGTTCCAAAGACTCATCTCATGACAGAAACCGAATGGAGAAATTTAGGAGTTCAACAGAGTCCTGGATGGGTTCATTATATGATGCATGGACCAGGTATGACTTGATAAATGAAAATTATTTAGGGAAATGTATGTACATCATGAATTATAATCAACATCATTTATTAATACAATCTAAATTTTTTTTTCAGAACCACATGTTCTATTATTTCGCAGAATGAGACCTGATCTTGTGACAGCACCTAGATGTACCACTTTACAAGGAGAACCTATTACTTGTTATAATTGAATCTGATGTGATAATCTAATATGAGATGATATGAATGGAAATGAGATATACGTTATATAAGATTGTATTCTATCATATTTATAAGTATTTATTAATAGTTAAAAATTATAAGTATTAAAATATGTTATATTTTATCGTTCCCATCTTTCACATAATATAAAGTATAAAAAAATATCTTACAATTATCTATCAAGTATTGTTGGCTTCTCTAAATGAGTCCTTTTTAAAAAAACATGTAATTATTTGCGTAATATTTAATAATTTTATGTAGAAAATTTGCAATATCTTTTCTTCAATATATTTTAAAAAACAAACAAATTATGAAAGTTTTTCGCGATATTTTCAAATTTGTATCCAAGTGTTGCAAATTCCATATATGTCACATAACAAGAGAACTTTTTCTTTTAGTCAAAAGAAAAAAAGCTAATTGGAAATAAAAGAAAAAGAGGAATATTGAATAAGAAGCAAATTCGATTAGCTATCCATTTATTGATGAGCTTATGGCTGAAAGATTGCGTGATGAATCTGGGGCACTCTATTTAAAATGTTAATCATTTCAAGCGTATTTTCTTTCTTCGGAATTTCGCTGTTTCGCGTGTCCGCGCGCAACACGCGATGAATAATTATAATATCTGTTTATCTATTAGCTAAACTTTTCGTATTTTGAAAAGTACATATATATATATATATATATA